TCCAGTGAGGTCAGTTCAGTTAAGAAACTAAGAGAGGGCAATAATAAGAACATTAGTATTAGGTCAGTGTAAAGTAATTATGTGCTTATTAAAACAGTAGTGGTGCATTAAGATAAGACAACATGTAAATAAAACAACCAATTTTTCTTAAAAATGCACCCTGCCACACATATATAACTATTCTGGTGATTTCCTTCAAATTGGCCACCATATTGAATTTTGATTCCAAATATTATTCCAGATTATTTCACTATCAGGGTCTTGAATTTCACATGACGTCATCACAGAGTGCTATTAAAATTTCATAGTCGCAACTAACTCACTGTGGTATGATTTTAGAATCAAACATTTTAAAATCTCAACTGAAGTAATATGGACAAAAATGCACGAGTTCAGGTGTCAAAATTAAAATGGTTGTAAAAAAGTTTGCCAAGGCTTAGGACTGGAGACTCTTTTTTTCATTATAGTGAACTATAAAACCTATTGTTATAAATTGTTGGAAAAAGCACAAACAGCACATTAAAATTGGAAAAAATTAACCCTCTAGGGTAGTGCCGATGAAAACGGACGGAAATCACGGAATTCATGATGTGAAACGGAATTGTCCTTTCCGCGCAAATTTTAATTTTTTGAAAATAAAATTGACTATTTTTATACGCCCACATGGAAATGTCGGTCCGACCGTCGGTCCACATTTGTTGTATGCACGATATAGGCTACAGTTTTTATCTGATCTTGATGAAACTTGGTATGCATGTATATATTGATGAGATCTCGGTCAAGTTCGAAATTGGTAATAATCGGATGAACAGTTTCAGAGTTATTGCCCTTGACTTAGTAAAAACGCATTAAATTTGGCTTGTATGCAAGATAAAGGCTGCAATTTTTATCCGATCTTGATGAAACTTAGTATGCAAGTATATATTAATGAGATCTCAGTAAAGTTTGAAATTGGTAATAATCGGATGAACAGTTTTAGAGTTATTGCCCTTGACTTAGTTAAAACGCATTAAATTTGGCTTGTATGCACGATAAAGGCTACAGTTTTTATCTGATCTTGATGAAGCTTGGTATGCATGTATATATTGATGAGATCTCGGTCAAGTTCGAAATTGGTAATAATCGGATGAACAGTTTCAGAGTTATTGCCCTTGACTTAGTAAAAACGCATTAAATTTGGCTTGTATGCACGATAAAGGCTGCAATTTTTATCCGATCTTGATGAAACTTAGTATGCATGTATATATTGATGAGATCTCGGTAAAGTTTGAAATTGGTAATAATCGGATGAACAGTTTCAGAGTTATTGCCCTTGACTTTGTAAAAACGCATTAAATTTGGCTTGTATGCACGATAAAGGCTACAGTTTTTATCTGATCTTGATGAAACTTGGTATACAATCTATATATCAATGAGATCTCGGTCAAGTTTGAAATTGGTAATAATCGGATGAATGGTTTCAGAGTTATTGCCCTTGACTTAGTTAAAACGCATTAAATTTGGCTTGTATGCACGATAAAGGCTGCAATTTTTATCCGATCTTGATGAAACTTAGTATGCTTGTAGATATTGATGAGACCTTAGTCAAGTTCGTAATTGGTAATAATAGGATAAATGGTTTCAGAGTTATTGCCCTTGACTCAGTAAAAATGCGTTAAAATTGCCTTGTATGCCCAATGAACGCTACAATTTTGATCCCATCTTGATGAAACTTAGTGTGCATGCATGTATGTATTGATGAGATTTCGGTCAAGTTTGACAGCTGGTAGTGGGCGTATGTTACCTTGCCTGGCAAGCTATCTTTACTACTAGGCCTACATCAAATTCATACGATTAAAAAATGTTTGAAACTGGGAGCACATGCAAAGTAAAGAAATTTACAACAGAGTTGAACTTGTTTTGATGTACATTGTTTGATAACATAATTATTTAACTTTTGGTTTCGAGCGTGTTCTCTTGCTCTTCAGTGCATAGAATCAGGCCAGCAAATAGAACACGTTCAAAACCGGAAGTCGCGCAATCTATTCTGTTTATCATGTACGGATCAAGCTGATGTTGTAACAATGTCTCTGATTGGTTCAGACATGTCAATTTAACGATACCATCCATGATCAAAATGGGGAGTAAATTTATAGCTTTTGTTGTCAGTTAAGAAATATTTATTACTTTTCTGTTTTCTGGTGTTGAAACGGAATCTACAAATTCTGAAACGGAAAAACATTGGCACTACTCTAAGGGGATTCAGTCACATGATACAGCAGTCCAAAGTTGCAAATTTCATTGTTTTTGGACAGCTATAAAACTGAAAGTAGACATCAGACTTAAGGGCTTTGACTGGTCTATTTCATGTTATGAAAATATGGAATTATTATATGTAAAACTGATTTGGTTTAAACAATATTTTATTTCTATATTAAATGAAATTTTTTACA